CTCTCTTCCCTTTTGTGGAATTGTCTGGGCTTGACGGAACCTGTGACACGGTCAAAATTGCGGTGGTGGCCACCTCCCATTTTACCTCATAAACTTATTATTGGAGCCTATGGAAACCCATTCTCCCAATATGTCGATGGTTTGTTGGCATCATGGTGGAGCCTGGAAGTAAGAGAGTAAGTTCTTTGGCGGTAAAGCAGCCTACACTAGAGGGAGCTAAAGGAGGCGAAAAATCCCGGTCTGATGGTGACCTGTCTTTGTTGCTACTGGACTGGTGATATTACATAATATACGCTAGTTGTAATTCCACTTTCAACCAGTAGGGTGGAGGAGTAGGAAACTGTTCAGTGTTACTTTAAAATTCCTGTGAAGCAGTCTAAAACAAACCAGTCTTTTACTGCTTTTATTTTGTTGATTTCATCGTTGATTTTGTAATAACTTGCACTGGCTGCACTGACAGACACGGGTGTAAACCCAGCTTGTTTGTTTCTCGTTTATCTTTTGATAAAGACAGAAGACAGCGGTGTGTGAGAGTAGGGTTAGCGTCTGACTCAGCCAGGATGGTGTCTAACTTTTATCAGACCACCTACGCGTGCTACAACAAGGTAGCTGGGCTTTACCACAGAAGTCAGGCTAAACTGGAAAAACAAAACCGTCTCCGTAACCTATGCTGTCCGTTCAATTCTCCAGTCAAGGTCTGTTGACCTCCACCATGGCGCACTCTGGATGTGAGTAGTTTTTTTTTCATGTTTTATGTCCAGTCCTGTCTGTTTTAAATGATTTTTATTAAATCCAAACTTCTTAACACACAAAAGATGAGAAAAATGTTTCATTTGGGCTTCAAAGTGCAAGGCTGGACTGTTTCATTGTGCCGTGACAAAAGCACCACAAACATACCACTAATGTCAGCCTGAACATGGACCCGCCACGTCCTCCAGCCTCCGATCAGAAAAGGTCAATCCTGCTGTTTATTTCTGCTCAAGTCATCCGTGTTTTCCCCTCCTCGTCCAACAAAGGCATTAAGAAAGGAAGAAGGAATCATCAGCATAAAGACTTGGCATTGCTTACGGGTCACTGGCCAGAGCTCCGCTGACTATGTTTACTTTATTATAGGTCAGTGTGTGCACACCCACTGACTGCAGCCAGAGCCCCGGCGTATAAAACCCTAAATAATATGTCTACTCTACATTTAGAGAAATCATCGGGTGTTGCTGTGGAATGCAACACCATTGTGGTGAAGCCTTTTCACAAAAGAGCAAACAACTGCTGGAGAAAGCCAGAAAAGGGACAATGTCCCGGTTCTCATGTGACGCACTGGGCTCCGAGACGCTAAGGACTCATTATTAAACAGAATGTGAAATCTGAATAAACGATGAAGATGTTGCATAATTTAAACGGAGGTCATTTCAACAGTTTTACCTGCCTGAGAAAAATCCTCCAGTTTTCTGCTTTGGGTCAGCATCTCGTCGAGTTTTCTTTCATCTACTACTTGATCCCTCGATGGCCGTGACGTACCCTGAGTGTAGCAAAGGAACCCCAAACCATGGCTCTCCCTCCACCATGTTTTAAAGCAGGATGGTGAAAAATGGTGAAAATCTCTGCTTTCCAACAGCTGAACACCTGTGTTTAAATAATTTTCCTGCTTCCAGACTTCTATAAGCAGCGGGGATGTCACTTCTCGTGTCTTGGCTTAGTTTTGTTAAAGAGCAAGTCACCCCCTACTAGAGTCTTACTCCACTTCCTGTTTGAAAAATGCAACAAATGCAGACCAAGAGGGTGGAGCCGCTAACAAATACATGCACACACAGACTCACAACAACATTGTGACATCATAATGTACCAGCTAATGTCACAGTGTATTTCTTAGCCATTAGCGATGGCAGATTTAAATTCAAATGCAGTGCAGAGTTTTTACCTAACAACGGCACACCACTGACAGTTTTATACAGAAAATTTACATTTAAACTAAGATGCATTAAAATGCTAAAGTATTGTCTACACGTGTCTATAGCACTATTAGACACTCATTTATATAGTTTATCAGCAAAAAATAGTTGATTTGGGGATGACTTGCTCTTTAAAGCGCTTTGGGCTTCCTGACAGGGTTGCGGAAGGCGCTTTATAAATAAAGCTTTGATTGATTGATTGATTAAAGTAATCCTAAAAACAAGTCATAAATTCTCGATTATGTTCAGTTTTAGGTAGTTTTTATGTAACTTTTGGGGTTTTATTGTTAAAATGTCTGCTTTCAAACATTTACATGTATATTCCTGCCTAATTTTATCATTCACCTACCGCTGCTCGCACACATATTGTTCTGTTGTGTACACATTAGTAGATGACGTGTTTGTATGTTACAGTCTAAGGAGCCACTCAGGGTTACGTTCACTGCAGGTTGTACTTGTGTGACTGAGTATGTGACAAATAAACCTTCTGAATGCTTTTATTATTAGAATTAAAATAATAAAGTAAAATTAAAAGACATTGCTTCTATTTTCCTACATGAATGAATGAAAACAATGTCAGAGATTAATATGGTCTGATCTAATTTAGTTCAAATGGATTTTTTTATGTTATTAAAACAATTTACATCAATTTGCATTTATTGTGTTTGACTAATAAATAGAAATGATAACTTGTGCTTGAATAAATGTTCAGAAATGGAGAAAAATGGGCAAAAATGTCAGTAACTAAAGAAATAAGTATTTTGTTCTTTAAGCAGTGATGAGAACAATAAAGTTCAATTCAGTCAAATCACAATCAGTCGTCTCAAGGACCTTCACACAGTAAACGTTCTAATACAGGTCAGGTCATTAAGCCCATCAGTAAAAAGTTTCCTATATAAGGAACGCAACAGGTTGCATCGAGTCACTGACTAGTGTCAGTGACTTTACAGCAATCCTCATAAGCAAGCATGCAGCGACAGTGGAGAGGAAAACTCCCTTTTAACAGGAAGAAACCTCCAGAGGATCCTGGCTCAGTATAAGCAGCCATCCACCACGACTCACACACACACACACACGCACACACACACGCGCGCACACACACACACACCAAATATACCAAGTAGTGTTTCTATGCTGCATACAATGTGATTTCTTAGTGGGGATTCTATTTCATGACAGATAAACTTCATTTTCTTTATCTGAGTGAATCTGTAATTAATTAAACAGTTATTCTGAAACAAAAAACTATAAGAAACACACACACACACACACACACCTCCATAGTCACCCGTGGAGTTGAGTGATGATGACAGATGAAGGGTAAAGAGGAAGCTCGGTGCTGTCCTGCAGGGGTGTGTTTTGGTGTACGTCTCTGTGCTTCATGGTAAAGTTGGGTTCTTTTGTTGAACCATAACCCCACCCCCCCCACCCCCCCACCCAGAAAACCCGCTGCTTTTTAGAATAACAGATGAATAAATGGTTGGGGGGGGAACAGTAGGCTGAAACCACAGTGGAACTCAGCGACGGTCAGCCAAGCCCACCACGCCTCAGCAAATGTTTGTCCAAACCTGTTATTTCTGGCATTGTGCTGTCGCAAAGAGATCATTTCATTCTCCAGGAGGAATGCAGCAGCTATAAATAGTCTATAGATGAAGGAAGGGAAATCAGAGATTTGTAGAGTAATTACAGAGCTGGAGTCCTACCCTTCTGTTATGGTGCAGTTTTCATCAACCTCTGTCTCCACGACTGTCTGCAGACTGACCAGCCGAGGTGAAACGGACATTTTCTCAAGGGGACATCTGATCGGATATTCTTCTCTCTTACTCGGATCATGTAAAAGTTCGTCTCAAAGCTGCACTTAATGATCACCAGGGAACACAAAAGGATGTTTAGCTGTAAATGGCTGTAATTATCAAACATGCCCTTCTCATTTTGCACAGCCAGACCTCGTTGGCACATTCACCCGGTAATTAGAAAAGGCTGTAGATGAGTGACAAGTAATGGAGCTGCCCACATTACTCAGATGAGGGCGGTGATGGTGGGAAACACTCATGGCATGTTGCATTTTCTGTTAAAAAGAAACTCAAACATGCAGGTTTATGAAAATATAACAAAAATAGTTTATTTTACCTGTGAACTGTTTGTTGTGCAGCGGCTTTGTTGTGGCCTAAGGGAGGAGAAGGGAAAGGTGGGGGTGTGTAAATGACAGCAATCACTGACAAATTATAGCTCCATCAGACAAACATCCAAAGCAGACACAAGCTTTTAAAATCACCATTAACACCTCATGTTAATTGTTATTCCGAAGTGGGTGTTTGCATCAAAGTTAAAACTTTTGTGACATGTGAATAAAGTGAGGCAGAAAAGCAAAAACAAGATAAAGCTGTAAGGAGACAAATGCATTTTCGCAGCACTGCAAGTTGTCAAGTGGGTCGTTCTCAGCAGGATGCTCTGCATTAAATGCTTGAGTTTTGCACTGAACAACTGTTTTAATGTTCAACATAAATTAGTGATTTATCAGTATATATGAATATTTGGATATCTTTTGTGGCTCCAAACATTAATTGGTGAAATTAGATGGTACAAATCGTCATTTCAGCCACAAACATTTCAAACTTCATGGAAACAGAAACTATCATATTTGCAGTGAAATGTCGCCACTGTGTGGCAGGAAATTATACTGCAATAATGTTCATTTTTGCCCACGTTTTAACATTTGCTCTTCCTTTTACTTCTAAATATTTATTGCGCAGTTCATTTAATTTTTATTAAATTAATCTTACCGTGTTCCACTGAGACTGCATGGAGATAAAGCTTTGTACGTTAAAAATCAATCACAAAGTAAATTATTACCCAGAAAACTCGGCTGTTTTCTACTAAAACATTAAAAAAACAACTTTTAGACTAATTATTTAAAAAAATGCTTCAAAACAAGTATCACTTTGTGTCATTTTGTGTGGAAATATTCTAAAAAATGTTTAAATAAACTCGATTTGCTGAACGGAAATATTTGGCGCCCTCCAGCGGACAGAAAGTGCAGTACATTTCCGCTTTTGCGTTTAGCTTAGTTAGCTTAGCTTAGTTCGCCAAACTAACTTCAATACATTTTTAAACATAAAAAATATTGCATTTATAGTTATATCGCATTTGCATTGGGATTTTATATTATTTAACTTCTTCAGTGGAAAAAAAATACTTCCAACGTTTTATTTTGCCAACTGACGTCAGGGGAAGAGCCGTAACCTTGGAAGCAACCGTCGAAGTAGAACCGCTAAAGCGCTCGGTCCTGTTTCATCTCAGTTCCTGCAGTCTGCAGAGATTATTCATCTTCAGTCATAAACTACTCAGATTAACGCCACAATGCAGAGGGAAGACCAAGGCACGGTGAGTCCCGTCATTTATTTGCTAACAGGAGGCAAAGAAACTATCGAGCAAGTTGACAAATGGTTACGTTTGGATTTCGTCTCGTCAATAACAATTTTATAATTCAAGTTTAATTATACATTATTTTTTTAGACTTCTATTTTGTTTTTTCGATCGTAAAAAAGCATAAAATGTAAAAGTTTGACCCGTTTGCGGTGCTAAGATGCTAACAAATAAGCTACAATTTCAGGTTCAGACACGTTTTACCAACAGTTTCCGTTTTTTTTTTTTACTCTAAAATATGAACTCGGTTGTTTTGTGTTAAGAGAGACTGACGAACTAAGATGAAACAGGAGTTTTGTTGGCGGTTAGCTGCAGCTGACTGATGTTTACGCTTCCTGACCGCCGGTGACCTTGAAAAGACCCTTTTATGCTGGTTGTCTTTTGAAGAGTTAATAATGATTGTTTTCTTTCGTCTTTCTGATTTTTCCAAACCGTTGCAGCTTAAACCCCTCTTACTTCTTTTTGCAGCCGCTGTCCTCCCACCTCAGCAGAGGCACCTCCTTTCTCCCGGATGTCTTACTCCCAGCAGACCCTGCCAACGCCCCCAGCTGTCTCACCCACACCCCTGGCACCATCATTCCTAACGGGATTTTCGTCGGCCGGATCGGTGATGAGGTGAGGTTTTTCCGTCTCCTATACAGAAACAAGTGGTTTTAAACAGTAACGCCGTAAAAAATGCAGATATTTGTGCTTCAAGGTTGATGAAAGCGACCTGCGACGGGTCTTCTCGCAGTACGGGGAAGTGAAGGAGGTGAAGATCGTGTCACATCGGTCAGGAATATCAAAAGGGTGTGTGTTTGTGGTGTTTCTGACAGAATTCCAGTCATCCGCTTGTTTCCTGAGCGCTCTCCTCTCTGAACAGGTACGGGTTTGTTACGTTTGAGACAGCTGAAGACGCCATGAGAGTCCTGAGCCTTGTGAGTGGTCGGCTCTGCTGCAGACGATTGGGTTTGTGGTGATTTATCCAAACTTACTGGACTTGTTTCTTACAGAGGAGTGGGATCCGTTGCAGAGACAGGATCCTCCGCATCGCCCGTGCTATAAAAAGGCCGCAGGGCTCAGGAAGACGTGAGTCTGGAACAACCGAAGCGAACGAGCCGCTGGGTCAGACGGACTCTGTAACTGTTGGCTTTGTCTGCAGCCAGGAGAACCCACATGACCCCGCTTGGACCCGCCGTGCCTCAGGTATCCTGTGGGACGTTCGTCATGTCCACCTCCACAGGTTTCCCCTACACCTACAACAATGGGATGGCGTACTTCCACTGTGCCAACGTGAGCCCAGATGTGCAGTTCTGGCCCGTGAGTACGAAACCACCTTCACTAGGATGCGTCCGAAGCAGCTAACCACGTAAGGAAACACAGATTTGCTTTGGTTTGTAGCCGGCTCCTAACCTGATGCTGCCTCCGTCCCATCAGCACGTTCACCAGCAGCAGTACCACCACTTCCAGGTCCGTTCACAACCAGCGCTGCTTTCACTGATTCGCAGTCGTCCGCGTCCCCGTGCACCTAAAACCTTCTTTCTGCTTCCCTGCAGAATTTCCCAAATCCGTATCCGTGGAATACCGTGGAGGTGCCTGTGCCCCCTGGCGCAGTGATGTACCCTCAGCCGTCCGAGTATCTGTACCAGCCCGCTGATGGACCCCTCTTCCTGCCCTTTGGGCCTGTGTGGGAGGACGCTCCAGCAGAGGTCCAGAGTCTTCTAAAGACATGGCGGTCAGATATAAACATCTGGTTTGTTTCACCTGGACTTTGTTGTTCTCTCGTCTCTAGGTGGTGGACACAGCGGGGCCTCATGGTTACTCCAGAAGGACGCCAGATGTTCAGCGAGGCGATCCAGGAATGGTAAAGGAACATTCCTGAGCTGTAAGCAGCACCTGAAAGGTCTCACGTCTCATTTGTTTACCTTTTGTCTCCATAGCAACAGGTGTTTCCTTCTGCCATCGTCCCCCGGCACTAACGAAGCGTCTGAGTCCACGCAGCCACCTGATGTCACCACGTCTCACTCCTCCCTGCTCCTGAAGAGGCACGCGTCACCCTCAGCAGTCCACCTGTTCCACGCCTCCATCACTAAACCCGCTGACAGCCTGATGTGGGGGGGGGCGCCTCAAACAAAAGGATGCTACAGGTGCCTTAAATTCACAACCCCTCAAACATCAGTCGGATTAACAGAGATTAGAATAATCTCAGCGCCTTCGGCTGCAGGAAACAAGATCATTTCCAGGTGACTGTTGGTTTTAAAGTTATCGTTTGAGGCAGGAAGTGCTTCCTGTCAGATTTAATCACATCTTTTATGCTCGGTGGTTGCGGGGCTTCCCACCCAGTTAATCTGGGATTTTAAAGATGATAATCTAGAGAAACGTTTCAGATTTTGTCTTTTATCCGTCTCTGAAACACAAACACGACTGTTTTAAATCCTCTGTGGACAAACGGCTGATATTCCGTCACATTAGCACGTACCTTTCTATTTTCCATCTGAGCCCTAGCTCGGTCTGGTTGTTGTTGTTTACAGATGTTCCAGGTGTTTACAAAATAAACACGTGTCAACACTTTAATAGTTTTAGGATTACTTAAGGAAAGTTCGAGTTTCAACTATTTACTTGTTTTGTGTGAAAGAATCTTTGTTTCCACATAAATTTAACTTCAGAGCAGTTTAGTCCTGGTGTGTGTGTAGTGTACATTCTCTATGTGTGTGTGTGTGTGTGTGTAACTGTAAACAAGTGTATGTTTGTGCACCGAGCCGGCTGTTCTTTACTGTTGTCAGATTGTTCCACGTCTTTTGGTTCTGTGGCTTTTTGTCGTTCTTCAATGAGAAATAAATCTTTCTGAACTCCGAGCTCCTGTTTTATTTCTGGGCTGAAACCTCAAACTCACTCATGGACGTTTTTTCTCAAGCATGAAAAAAACCTGAAAGATCTTCAATGCAGCGTTTTCCAAGTGGCGATGCTGGAATTTTAGAGTGATTTTTAGAAGCAGTAAACAACTCGTGATGATGAACGGGGTTACTTATACACAAAAGGCTATTTTTAATCCACAGAGCTCGATCAGGATCATCTAAAACGTCTGAAAGTCATGCACACACACGTGTGTGTTGTATAAATACACTCAACAGGTACAAGGTGATTATAAGTAAATGTTACTGTTAATAAAAAGATCAGTCATAAAATCAAGCCCGCCCTAGAGGGCAACCGAAACGCGTGTGCTCACAAAGCTGATGGTGATATAATAATTAGCAGAAAGGTGTTTTTGTGTAGCTGGGGTCAGTGAAGGTCGCTGGCACTGATGAGTAAAGAGATCAGAATAACAGCAACACGAGTGTCGTGTCCTCTTGTGGAGGTTTATAGAACAGCATGGTCCTGTTTGTCTAAAGGGTTCATGCACAGAACATTCTGACGTTCTGGAATGCACATTATGTCCTGTACCTTCAGAAGGTGACCTTCCTGGTGCTGATGTCACATACTTGTAAGTGTTCTACCTTCTGGACATTTGTCCCAAAATAAAAGCAGCAGTGCAGAAAGGAACATTTTGTGGTTTCTTATAAAACTTTTGTTAAATAAAGAAAAAATAAAATCAGTACTGAACCACAGAGCTGCCAACCATGCTAAATAAAATCAGCAACGTAGTACGATGACATCATTTTCAGATATATCACGTTTGTGTGATATGCCAGTGAAACATTTTTATTCTGGACATTTGTCGTAAAACATGTTTATTTTGTACGAACGTGAGTGGAAGACCTACGTTGTTGTAAATTAAACCAATTGGACCGTTACGTTAAGCTAACTGACGAGGGGATTTGGTTCTGAATGCTAATGTCATTCAAAGGTGAATACATAAATTAAAAGCTTCATTGATGAATTCACGCACCGTTAGCTTTTGTAGAAAGTCCGCTTACCCTCATTGCACGAGGTTGACATCAGTATTTTCTTCTTGCTGGTTCTGGAAGTTTGTTGGGTTTTTGGGATTACTGCTAGCTGACCGCATGTCAGAATGGCAGAGCTTTGTGAGTGAATGAATGTGTTGTGAAGCATTCCAGGACTCTGGAAGGCTCTGTATCAAATACAGGCCATTTTACATTATGTGAAATGAATAGATGTTCCTTAACTTGCACGAAGGAAAAATACCACCTAAATGTTTCTTTTTGCCTTTAAGGCAATCAAATATGAAAGGCATCACATTTACATCAAACAAATAATAACAAAAGATGCTGATGAGCAGCAGGACTGATCTGGTGAGTCCTGCTGCTGTTTGGATCGCTGGCTGTAATGCACAGAACACACAAGCTTGCAATATAAAGGACAACACCTGTCCCCCTCCAGCTCGGCTGTGTGACTGCTACCCTCACCATGTGACCCTCATGTCCATGCTGTCTCTGGAGGAGCAGATAGGGGACAAGATCTCCTGTAACTTAAAATGAACCAAAGCTTCCTCCCAGCTTCTCTTTAAGCTGAATTTAACATCAGTTTATCATCATGAAACAAAAGAATAAAGTGGAACAAGAACTTCCATCTTGTATTTCTCTCCTTTTAACTTCTCCGTGTCCCTAAATAAAAGAGACAGATGATTACGCTGCAACCGCCATCACTCAGCCCGCTCCCTCCCCAAGACCGGACCTCCCGACATCACAGCACTCGGTCTGACTGAGCGCTTCCAGGAGAAACAATAATGAACTTATGAAAATAATAATGTGTGTTTGGAGGAGCGTCCTCCGATCCTCTCTCTTGTGTGAGCAGACAATCCCCCCCCCCCCCCCCCCCCCTCTCTCTCTTGCTCTTTCTCTCACTCTCTGATTGAGCTGCGTGACAACCCGCTCAAATTCACGGCCCAAATCCAACAGAACCGATCGGGCTGATTCGGTTCGGGTTCGGTCTCAGGTTGCAACTCAGGCGCTCAGCCCTGCAGTACCACATAAAGGTGGATCAAAGTTTCCTACCCGGTAAATGTGGAGAACACCGCTCTGACAGATCTGGATGCTGCGCTGGTGCCGCCGTTAAAATAAAAAAACTTCTTTCCGCTATAATTGATTATGGCCGCTCCTCTATGGTGCAGAATCTTTTATGCCCGCATCTCGATGCATGGATTATTTTCCTCAGCTCCATCTATCCTACACCTCCCGGTCGGCCGTCGGGGGTGGGTGGTGCACGTGGGATTTGGGGGCCACGAAGAGAGGGCTCGCAGGCCGCCATTTGAGTATTGCTGGTCTAAGCGCTAGCATGCTAACTCAAGTGTTTTCTGAGTTCACCTAAAGCCACATTTGAACCTCACCGAGCTGTTAGCAACTAGCTGGGGACAAAGTCGTTGAGGCTTTCCAGTTAGAATCACGTTGAGTTGGTACTCATGACTATTCTGACTTGTTGTGTGTTCTTTAACATTTCTGTCCTGTCCGGCTGACAGAATCTGAAACTGAGGGTCCAAACGGGTCCATGCAGCCGCAACAACTCTGTGACTATTTTCAGAAGATCTTAAAGTTTCAACCCAGACGTATTTTTGTTTGTTTGTTTTCATCCAACGGCACCATCTGGCGAACTTTAGCCTTAAACCGTTCTCATCACTTCCATGTTTACGGCTAAAAGCTTCCTATTTACAAACGTGCACCGCTAGCTGGCCAACGTAGCTAAAACACATGGTTTTAGGAATATTATTGTCCCATTGTGCTGTTTATTCATACATACAGTGGGGCAAAAAAGTATTTAGTCAGCCACTGATTGTGCAAGTTCTCCCATTTAAAATGACGATAGAGGTCAGTAATTTACATCATAGGTACACTCCAACTGTGAGAGACAGAATGTGAAAAAAAATCCATGAATTCACATGGCAGGATTTTTAAAGAATTTGTTTGTAAATCAGGGTGGAAAATAAATATTTGGTCAATAACAAAAATTCTACTCAATACTTTGTAACATAACCTTTGTTGGCAATAACAGAGGTCAAACGATTACTATAGGTCTTTACCAGGTTTGCACACACAGTAGCTGGTATTTTGGCCCATTCCTCCATGCAGATCTTCTCGAGAGCAGTGATGTTTTGGGGCTGTCGCCGAGCAACACGGACTTTCAACTCCCCCCACAGATTTTCTATGGGGTTGAGGTCTGGAGACTGGCTAGGCCACTCCAGGACTTTCAAATGCCTCTTACGGAGCCACTCTTTTGTTGCCCGGGCGGTGTGTTTGGGATCATTGTCGTGTTGGAAGACCCAGCCACGTTTCATCTTCAAAGCTCTCACTGACAGAAGAAGGTTTTGGCTCAGAATCTCACGATACATGGCCCCATTCATTCTGTCCTCAACACGGATCAGTTGTCCTGTCCCCTTAGCAGAAAAACAGTCCCAAAGCATGATGTTCCCACCCCCATGCTTCACAGTAGTTATGGTGTTCTTGGGATGCAACATGACAAGTTGAGTTTATACCAAAAAGTTCTACTTTGGTTTCATCTGACCACATGACATTCTCCCAATCCTCTGCTGTATCATCAATGTGCTCTCTGGCAAACTTCAGACGGGCCTGGACATGCACTGGCTTCAGCAGCGGAACACGTCTGGCACTGCAGGATTTGGTTCCCTGCCGTTGTAGTGTGTTACTGATGGTGACCTTTGTTACTGTGGTCCCAGCTCTCTGCAGGTCATTCACCAGGTCCCCCCGTGTGGTTCTGGGATTCTTGCTCACCGTTCTCATGATCATTTTGACCCCACTGGATGAGATCTTGCGCGGAGCCCCAGATCGAGGGAGATTATCAGTGGTCTTGTATGTCTTCCATTTTCTGATAATTGCTCACACAGTTGATTTTTTCACACCAAGCTGCTTGCCTATAGTAGATTCACTCTTCCCAGTCTGGTGCAGGTCTACAATTCTTTTCTTGGTGTCCTTCGAAAGCTCTTTGGTCTTGGCCATATTGGAGTTTGGAGTCTGACTGTTTGGGGCTGTGGACAGGTGTCTTTTATACAGAGTTCAAACAGGTGCCATTAATACAGGTAACGAGTGGAGGACAGAAAAGCTTCTTAAAGAAGATGTTACAGGTCTGTGAGAGCCAGAGGTTTTCCTTGTTTGAAGTGACCAAATACTTATTTTCCACCCTGATTTACAAATAAATTCTTTAAAAATCCTGCCATGTGAATTCATGGATTTTTTTTTCACATTCTGTCTCTCACAGTTGAAGTGTACCTATGATGTAAATTACTGACCTCTGTCATCATTTTAAGTGGGAGAACTTGCACAATCGGTGGCTGACTAAATGCTTTTTTGCCCCACTGTGTGTGTGTGTGTGTGTGTGTGTGTGTGTGCGTGTGTGTGTGTGTGTGTGTGTGTGTGTGTGTGTGTGTGTGTGTGTGTGTGTGTTTTAAACGTCTTTGTCCACAAGACGTGTCGACAGCTCTGCATCTGTCTATGTTTTTCAGCGCTCACGCACGCTCTGTGAATGACATCTGTACATAAGTGGATGTACATAATATTTCTAATGCTATTGGCCAAACCTGAATGGCAGTCAACTCAAAACCTATGGGCCTCTATGGGACGGGGACAGGCTTAGCAAAAGAAAAGAGGTATTATCTTCATTACATGAATACAGGGTAAGACTATCACTTTTACAGATTCCTAAAAAATCAGACTTCAGAATTCCTGAAAGGCGGAAAGCTCCTGATTGCAGCTCCAAGCACGTTTGACATTCTTTGTGACACACACCATGAAATCTCAAAAGCATTTTAAGGCGCGTTTTTAAAGTTCATTCAGGTAAAGGCAAGTTCTGCCCTGACTTGACCTCGTTCCAGGTGAAGTTTCTGCCCATGAAATACCCCGATAGATACCCCGATACCCGTAAGGTTATTGCATCTAACAACGCTGCTTTATATGAGAGTATTTCTGTCATTCCTAAGTGGTGCTGATGATCAGATATGGTTTTTGTCCTGATGATGTTGGCCACCCATCGAGTATACCAGCTGTGTTGTTGTGAGATCACGACCCGGGGTTGGTTTGCTGATCCCGTGAGTTTTGTCTTTGAGTCAACAGCACACCGTTGTGTTTTAATCAATAGTGATGAACATGTGAAAAGCAGACAACAGTAACTCATCACACAGCGATGCATTGCTATACATAACCAGATTTGTGTTGTAACGTCTATTTGGATGACAATACTTTATGCTGTGCCATCACACATCCACTTTATATAAAAGGACCTCGGTGCAGAGAGCGCCTATTCAGTCTCAGTTTGGCCCTCTACTAAAATAAAAATGGGAAAGGTAAGTTTAAATATTTAATACTGACATACAAAATTAAAATCTTGCTTTGGAAATGGGAATTTAGAGGATGGAACATCTTTGCAGATCATCTTCTATGAGGACAGAAATTTCCAGGGTCGGCACCATGAGTGCATGAGCGACTGTGCCGACCTGCACCCCTACTTCAACCGTTGCAACTCCATCCGAGTGGAGAGCGGCTGTTTCATGGTGTACGACAGACCCCACTACCTGGGCCACCAGTACTTCCTGCGCAGGGGGGAGTACTCGGACAACCAGCGCACGATCGGCATCAATGACTGCATTCGCTCCTGCCGCATGATTCCCATGGTGAGGTATTAGTGTAGGATGAGTACCGTGTGTAGAGGTGCAGATTGTTGACTTCGTCCCATCCGACCCACATGACATAAACCATGGGTGGATAAATGTCTAACCTTTCAGGATGCTTCCATAAGATCAAAAGCTGACTCAGCTTTTCTCTCTACAGCATCGTGGTTCCTACAAAATTAGGTTGTATGAGCGTTCCGACATGGGCGGCCAGATGCAGGAGATCAGTGACGATTGCCCCAACATCCAGGACCGCCTGCGGATGTCTGACATTAACTCGTGCAACGTGGTTGATGGTCACTGGCTGCTGTACGACCAGCCTAACTACAGGGGGAGGACCTACTACCTGAGACCCGGAGAATACCGAAGATACAGCGACTGGGGCGGTGCCAGTCCAAGGATAGGCTCTCTCAGGCGGATCACCGACTTTAACTAGACGAATCATTGATGAACCTAATAAAGATGCTTGGCCTGAACCGTGTGTGTGTGCTTATTTTATTGTTCCCATGAAAAGGTCGAGTTTTCCTAATAACCAGAGAGAAATCTTTCGTCTGGTACCAAAATTTTCTTCTTCACAAAACACTTTTACAAACGAACAACACAAAGGGAAAAATGGGTCACATACCGGTGTTCCTTTAGACTTGATGACTTTATTTATAATAATTCACATAAGGGCCACCTGCACACCGGATCTCTCACATGGTGATGCGCTTGATCGATCCCACTCTGGGACTCACCCCACCCCACTCATGAAACCTCCTGTATTCACCAGGGCGCATCAGATACTGGCGCCCCCTGTAGTGAGGATGCTCGTAGAAAATCCAGTGGCCGTCCATCACATTGCAGGAGTTGACTTCGTTGAAGTGGAAGCGTTCGTACAGCGAGGGGCAGTCGTCGGTCAGCTCCATCTTCTGGCCTCCGAACTCGTTGCGCTCGTAGATCATCATTTTGTGAGAGCCTTGGTGCTGTGGATAACGTGGAGGTGGTCAACCTGAGCCATGAAACTTTACTAAAAGGTTTAAACCCAGCAGATCTCACCATTGGGATGACACGGCAGGACCGGACACAGTCGTTGAATCCCATCCAGCGCTGGTAGTCTGGATAGTCACCCTTCCTGAGGAAGTACTGGTACCCCGTGTAGTTGGGCCTCTCGTAGACCATCCAGGCACCATTGTCCACCCGGATGGAGTTGCAACGGTTGAAGTGGGAGTGCAGGTCGGAGCACTCGTTGCTGCACTCGTAGGAGCGCCCCTGAAAGTTTCTGTCCTCGTAGAAAATGATCTGAACAGACAAGAACGTTATGCTACACCGCTCAAGAAACTCCAGATTAAATGATCCAGCCAGAAGAACAAAAACCCAAGCAGCCTTACCTTACCCATCCTGTCGGCTAACTTTAGTCCCACACTGTGGGCTCCAGGCTGCCTTTATAACCCCCAGATGACCCGTGTCTTTGTCATTCAGAACAATGAGTGGACGCGTCAGCTTTTTCACACTGATACACTGTGTGTGTGTGTGTGTGTGTGTGTGTGCGTGCGTGCATGCGTGCGTGCGTGTGTGTGTGTTTGTGTGTGTGTGTGTGTGTGTGTGCTTCAGTTTATTTGCTGCTGAATAACAACATTCATGATGATTGGATGCTCATAACAACATCTGTACACTTTGGAACAGATGGAAGAAACAAAAAGTCACTTTCCAGATCTTGAATATTCTTTATTTTTCAGCGCCGGTCTACATACGTTCATATGTAAATACTATCCGTTTGTGATAAGACGTAACCCGTTGTGTGTGGAAGGAACTGACTAAATCACATTTTCAACATGATCTGAAATCCTGCGAACGCCGGCACATGGCTTCCATCTGTGTGCGTGGCGGCCTTCAGCCGCCTTTATAAGACTAACAATTCACAGAATGTTATTCAGCTCATGCCAGCGGCTTGTTTCTGATCGCCTCCAGCTTGTTCGTTTTGGCTTTTGTTCGATTAAAATCCCCCATATTGTCACATTCTCTTTGGGTAAGCTCTAGAAAATAATTTTCTGTGCAGCTGCCCGTTGCAGCTTTGTGCCCGTGGAGCTGCTCTACTGCTGATAATGCATCTGGATGTAAACATCATATATGTTATAAATATGCCATAAAGTACTTTAAAATTTGTAAAATTTCTAATTGATTAACTTTATTTAAATTGCGTCAAATTCTATAAAATTAAATTTATTTCTATAGCGCCTAATCACAAGAAGAGTCGTCTCAAGGAACTTCACACAGTAAACATTCCTATTGAGTTCAGCTCATTAGAACAGAATAGAATAGAGTAGAATAGAACAGAACATAATATATATTATATACATATATATGTATATATACATATCGTATGCATACGTATGTACACATACATATATATATATGCATATATGTAAGTGTGTATATATATATATATATATATATATATATATATATATATATATATATATATATAAAATATACATACATATATATATATATATATACAATATACATACATATATTTATGTGTGTGTATATATATATATATATATATATATATACACATCACGTAACCCGCTCAGGGTAACCTTTGACACACCTCGTGTGGACTGACCAATGAGGAGAGGGTCTTAACTTGTCCTCTCTTCATTGGTCAGTCTGCATGACTGACTCAACCGCTCTCAACTGACGTTCAAAGTCATAGGCAGCGAATATAATATCAAGTAATATACATATATATGTTTATTTATATATATAAACATGTGTGTGTGTGTGTGTGTTTCTGTTTTCATGTTGTTTACTCTTTATTCTTAGTTTTTACTCTCCTTTTCTGCTCCTGTAATGAATCTTATTGCTGATGTGACACCAAGGTTTCCCCACTGTAGCGTGATGAATTGTCCATTTCTGACCTTAAAGGCCTGCTCTATTTGCTCTGCCCAAGCAAAACCATAAGTTTCTGGCACAAGCCTAACCTACAAGATATGGGCCAAGGCCACTCATGCTCTGTGCTCTTATCTAAACTGTTGCTTCCCCGGACAGCACAAGAAAGAAGAAAGAAGATCTGTTTTAGAAACAGAACTTTTCTTATTAAATAATAATTAAATAATGTCTGTTAGTCCAAATAATCATGTGAAGCTAATGTTCAATCAATCTGTGAAATGAGAATATTAATTACTTGATATTATAATCCTATGATAGTATATAATAAGTAATATAACTTTAAATATTTACACTAGACTGATCACACGTAATGTTAAAAATCACATGACACAACCCTTTTTCTGATCCAATCAGAACCTTCCAGATCTGACGCAAGGAGTGGTTTTGTTGGTGCATGGTAAATCCCCTTTTGTTGGCAAATTCTGGTTCGACCATAAATCAAAACATCTAAATTGTAAAACTATGCCCCACGTTATCTTAACTTGAGTTCAAAGCGTTCTTGAGAAGTTATCGGAGTGGCCAATCCGTAACTTTCCTCTTAAAGCCGAAAGAACCTAACGACAAGCTGGATTAAATCTGTTGCATGTTCCACCTGCTGCAACGGTTCCTTCAGAATAAAAGCTGAACCATCACGACCCTTCAGGGTCTCGCTGATGCCAATAAACTGTCATGACCTGGGAGTAACTCAAGACTGGAAGGGTCGGCAACCGTTGCATATCTACAGGCGTCGGTTCCAAGAGGGTCCAAGCTGGACCCCCGACATTCTGGATCTACCCGGGGACTTCCCTTGTGGTACGTAGACCGACAGATGGCCTCTCAATGTGTGTTATAATCTCCAACCAAAGCTTAGAGTGAAACACCATTTCACTCCCATCAGAACTAATCGTTTCTCCGGATTTGCTGGTTCTGAACATATTTCACACACACACCATCCTCAGTCTTACTCCACCTTAGTTCATCATCACATAGTGTTTAAAGTTAGTCTTGTTTAATTTGTTTAGAAATAAATCTTTTAACTTTTAAACCTCACTCTCTCTCTTTCTTGGAGTTGATACGAAGTGTTGCTCAATCCCTGCAATAAAAAGATCCGATCTTCTGGTTAAATTTACTCAAAGTTCCATTAAGGTGATATCTCATAATTCATGATATTTCACATTCTATGGTTTCTAATTAAATGTAAGAACATCTTCTCTGCACCACTGAGGGACAATAAAGGGATTTTCTATTCTATTCTATTCTATTCTATCTGTAGTCTTTCCACTTCCTGTTCTAAAGTTGGTTAAACCTTTTTTCACAGGCCAACAACAAAAACCTAAAAATGGTAATTCTCTTAAATAAAAGTGAAGCATCTCACTTATTAACTTTCATGTTTGTGTGCAGAAAAAGTGCATAAAACCAAAATAGTCCAAGATCAGTCTGCTCCACTCTGATTGACTGTGATGCTCACCTGTTCCAGCCACACACCTGCACCTGTGGAGTTGGGCTCTGAGCTGAGGAAGGAGCTGTTCTGTTCATCTTCATCACAGACAACGGGTGCTCCCACAGGTTTGTGCTGCTGAACATGGAGAACATCTGGACCACACTGTTGGTCAGTGTCTCGGAGAGGAGAGATGAAGCTGCAGCAGCTACAGAGTCATGCTGACTTAAGCGTGTCGCTAAACAGGACTTAAACCATCTCGGTCTGGAAGTTGGTCGGTGCGACTTCTATGTCGGCCGAGAACAGATTACCGAGCTGTTAAAATCCGATTTCTGGGCTTCAAAGTCGGCAAACTGCTGATTATTCTGAAATCTGAGAGTTCTCTTATTCGTTAGTACCACCGTCCCTGTTCTGCTGTTTTTCCTCCCACTGTCGCCCATCGCCCTGCGCTTGCCAGGGATGGAGGATTTCATTAAAGTGATGCTTTCCAAGTCGATTCTACAAAGATCTACTGAATCTGATTCGTTCTACCCCTTCAGCTTGCTGGATGGAGACACTGCAGCATCTCTCAGTAACTCCACGTCTCTTTTATTCAGAGGAGGAAACACCGTGCACAAGTTTGCAAGCGGTAAATTTATTGAGCGCATCACAAAATTCGAGGTAAATTGCACAGGCCAACTGCCTTTACATTCAAATGATGCACAAAGGTACAAATCACAGTTTCAGGATCAAAACAAGGCCTCTGGTTTTGCCTTCACTTGGAAAACGGAATTATAAACCGATCAGCTAATTAGCAATCCCAACTGGTTTAGGAGTCAGTGATGCGTCTGACTGATCTGAACCTCAGGTTGTCGCCGCTGACGTCTCGGAGGTTCCTGTACTCTCCTGGCCTCAGGTAAAACATCCTGCCCTTGTAATTTGGCTGCTCGAACATCAACCAGTGGCCGTTCATCACATCACAGGACTGCAGGTCGGACATGTTGTAGCTGTCCTGGATGGAGTCGCAGTCCTCGGTCAGTTCCTGCATCCGCCCTTCAAAGTTAGACTTCTCGTAGATCCTCATCCTAAAGGGTCCCCGGTGCTGCTCAAGGGCAAAAGACACAAATAAGAGTCGTTTGACTTTTCAGGTCGTGAGAACGGTTGAATATTTACCGCAGGGACGAAGCGGCAGGACTTGATGCAGCCCCTGAATCCGATGGTATTCTGGTACTCGGGGTACTCTCCTCGGGTCAGGAGGGACTGCTGGCCCGTGTAGTTGGGCTGGTCATAAACCACAAACGTCCCGCTCTCCACCCTGCAGGAACTGCACCGGCTCAGGTGGGAGGTGATCTCAGAGCAGTCGCTGACGCACTCATACGAGCGGCCCTGGAAGTTTCTCTCCTCAAAGAAGATGATCTGGAGGGAAAAAGTCACGTAGCGTTTGGGTTAATCACAGCGCTCAGAGTCAGAGTCACAAACAGCAGAGGACTTGTGCAGGTGCAGCAAACATCTGCTCTGTGCATCACCTTTCCGCTCATGATTTCTGTTGTTTTTCGCTCTGGCGCGTCGCCTTTTATGCATCATGTGATATGAAAAGAATCAGCCTCTTTATTGTACCGAATGACTGAGTCAGCGCATCGTGGAAATCCCCACGTTACTGTACATGAAAGATTAAACTGAGCGGAGGCAGATATACGCTGACGAGGAAAACACCTTTTCTGTTTCAGCCCCAGGGTCTCAGATGCTTCGGTAATTTCATTCTCGCTAGATAAGAAACAATAACTTCACAATAAGAGCAGAAAAACATTTTTAATGTGAGCTTTAAACTTCCAGAAGATTGTTCACACGTGTCACAGGTTTTGTTCTTTTTTAGCATCGCTAATCTAATAAAAAGAGAAAAGGACAAACCTCGTAGATGTTGTAAAAAAACGTTTTGATACACTGAAGACACACACCTTCCAGGAAGTTCAGAAGCATGACCTCTGACCTTAAACCCGATGAGTCCTGCAGGGCTTCAGAAGTGATTCTGAGGTTGTTGCGTTTGAGTTCCTTTGGAACGAGGCTGGATGGGTTGCTTTTTGAGATCTTTGAGCCTGCTTCACGTTACCGGACGGATTCTAACGAAGTCTTCACTCTGGTGGTGATCAGCTCTGGTTGTAGCTGGTGGAAACAAGCTCAGCTGCTTAATCACGGGTAACTCAGGATTTAACCGTTTCAAAGGTTGGTTTGGAAGTGGAATAAAATCATTTTAAAACTACATTTTAAGTTATTTGGCTTAATTGCTGATTCAAGATAGTTTTAAAAAATTTAAGTGACATAAAAATGTTTAAATCTGACTATTTGACTGAAATCTTTCATCATATTTCCCCTAAGTCCCTCCCCTGGCAATAGATTTACGTATCTACAAAAGGAAGCTGTCAATCAACAAGGATGTGCCCCAGTTCCCAGCATGCACTACGAGGCGATACATATTAATCAGGTTAGCACCAGGGGCGGATTAAGGACTGAAGAACATCCGGGGCTTAACACACGCACACATACACGCGCGCGCACTCACACACACGCACGCGCGCGCACACACACACGTGACATGCACTAGTCAACATCATATATGTCTTGTACCACATA